TTCGGCAAATAAATGTCAACGATGATGCTAATAAAATAAACAGAAGAAAATCGGCAATATTTTCAAGTGATTATTGTAGTTTAACTGTGATAGACCCACATACAAACATACATACAGATAGATATATTATAAAATAGTTGGCTGACATCGTTAGCACACACGCAAACATATGCTTTGACCATGACCACCATTATTGCCACAGATAATAACAATACCAACTGCAACAACAACAACAACATCGGCGGAAACAGTCATGATGACATGCCACAAGAAGATTTGGTTACCGATTCGCTGAAATATCACTCGCGCCGACATTACAAGAAGGATTCGCGATTTGTCTTCGATTTATATACGCTGTGCTACGATGAGAACGAAAGTGTCGACACAGTGGAATTATTTACATCGATTGTCAATAATACGGCGGGCAATTGGAAGGAAGAGGTACGGACAAATTATGAAATGTATACATACATATGTACATATGTATATTGAAATAGATGGGGAATGTCGGACAACGAAGTCATATAAATATAATGATAATAATAATAGTAATTATAATAACCACTTAAAAAAGTGACAGAATCTAAATTATGCTTTATTAATTTTTATTATTCAAACAAGTCATTATAAATATAAGAAGTTATGACTATAGCAAGGCCTTCGACACTTAAAATTAAAATTTTTCAAAAAGCACAAAGAAAAATAAAGTTTTGGAACTTTGGATACATTGCCAAAAACTATAGGTGCCAGGGACGTACGCAGAGGAGGGCCCAAGGGGCACGGGCCCATTCTGAAATTTTTGCATCAGAAAATGTTTAATTCCACTAGAGTTCCCCAAATTTCTACAAGATGAACAACAAAATCCCGGATGGAATCATAAACAATTTGTGGAGAATATGCCATACCACATTAAAAGTGTAAAGAAGAGCATAGATTGTGCATAAAATATTAAAAATCGCTAAATATTTTGATTTGTTCCTATACGGGCAAAAGTATTGGAAATGAGTTTTTTCCCCATTTTAAATAATACCCGGTCCCGCCACGTGTTTCTTGTATCCCATTTTCAGATTTAGCAAAAGGTGATTTTTGTAAAGTCGGCATACTATTTTTAAATCGAGAATGAAAGATGTTTCAACACGTATACGAAGGCAGTTCGGAAACTTCTTATCCTAGCAGAAATAGCGCGGTATAAACAGAAAAAAGTTAAGTGTTTCATCTCTGTTATGAACATATGTTAAATCTTGTTTCGATCTGGCAACTCCTTCGTGTAGAAACAGGTGTTCAAAAAAGACGCTTCCGCAATTTTTTTACAATAGACAAATTGGAAATGCGTGCTGTCATTAAATATTTACATAAAAATGGTTTATCGGGACAAGGAATTCATAATGAATATGAATGTGTTAGGAGAAACTGCTCCTTCAAATGCAACAGTAAAAAATTGGGTTGTTGAATTTATGATATGTTTATGTTTATGAGGCATGGAACCACCACTATACTCCAGAGACAAAAGAACAATCCAAACAATGGACAGAAGCTGAAGGAAGTGCCCCAAAGAAGGCAAAAACAATTCAATCGGGTGGTAAGGTTATGCCAAGGTTTTTTTTTTTGGAATTCAAAGGAATTTTATTGATTGAATATCTGCAAAGGGGTAAAACAATAAATTCAGAGTACTATTGCAACCTTTTGGATCAATTCAAATTCGAGAAAAACGTCCTAGCTTACAACATAAAAAATAATTTTATAATAATCAACGAATTAAAATACGAATTGCTTGACCACCCACCTTATTCTCCTGATTTAGCTCCCAGTGACTTTTACTTGTACCCGAATCTAAAAAAATCCTTGCTGGCAAGCGTTTTACCTCAAATGAAGATGCAATTACAGTTGTAAACCACTATTTGAAAGACCTTGAGGAAAACTATATAATTCTAAGAATGGAATTGCTAGAAAAGCGTTGGACTAAGTGTATTGAAGTTACAGGAGATTATATTGAAAAATAAAAATATTTTTGAAAATATAACTATTCTCTTTCATTGATAGGCTAAGAAGTTTGCGAACCACCCTCGTGGAACATGTTACGGACAAACAAGCTTCAGATATATTTAATAGACATCATGTTGTGTAAAAAATTCATATGAAAATCTCTTATACACTCTAATTGAGAAGCTGTAGAAGTTCCTCTGTCCCATACAAAGTGTGAGTAAATTGAAAACATAAAATGCATTTTCTGCAAAATCGTGTTTTTTAAGTTATGCCTGTCGTGCAGCAAATGAGCGATATACAGTTAATGTGGCCATTGAGACAATTTTATTGTGTGAAAGGGAAGGCATCGCCTTGAGGGAAGTAAAGCCTCCTGAATATCGTTGATTTATTTGTTTATGTTTTAGCAGATGAAACTATATATGTATAAGATTTTTGGCAAGGTATCTAAAAAAGTACCTTTGCTACGTCCCTTTTGAGAGGTCAGGCAATTATAATGGAGTGCAGACTATTATTAAATCAAAATTCATTTCTGTTGTATACATTCATTGTTCTTTTCACATTTTAAAATTAAGTTTTAATGCAGCTTCGAAGATTCGCGAAATTTCTAAAATTTTGGACATTTGCTCATTCTTTAGAAAATCCAAAGAGGTCTGCTACTCTATGCAGAAAATTTAGAGAAGGAAATCAATCTTTAAAACGACTACATTCATGTTGTGAAACACGATGAGTTGAGCAGCATGATTGTGTTTAAATATTTAACGAATCTATAGAAGAGAATCTAAACGAATCTAAGAACTAGAAGATTCCGAAATTAAAAAATAGTTAAAATTTAAAAAAAAAGTTAAAATTTTAATACAAAGATTTCAAAAAAATCATACAATTTTATGACAAATATCTGAAAGTGGATCTGTGGATTACTATGTGGTAAGCGAAAGATTGTTGCAAATGTTAATAACGATACCGGTAACCACAGCATCAGCTGAAAGAAGTTTTTCAACCCTTTTAGAGTGGTAGAGTGTTACTGTATATAATAGCGATCAAAATTGATTGCATGGATGTTAAAACTTTCCTGCGTAAGCATATCGGTTAACGTCTTAATATACGTCTCGTATGTTGATATCCTAGCTTTTGGGTATTTTGGAGGGTTTTCCACAACTCTATACTCAAAATTGATTAAAAAACTCTGTTACAAATTACGGTAATATGGGATTTTCAGTCCTTTATGATGCATTGCAATAAAGAGATCAATTTTACATGCAACCATAAAAATAAGTAATGCGTAAGCACCAGTAGATAAATTGCAGCAGAATATCATCTTTAAAACCGCATTGGATAATGGTAATCATCGTTGCACACACCATTTTATCTAAATATTTAAGAGTATCAGGTAGAATTTTCTCTGTTTTTTTTTTTCGAATATCACGAGTAATGCATTTTATGTGTATACCCAACCTAATGTATATGCGCAAGTGCAAATATGCACATGTGCATCCTGTAAGATATCGATCAAATGAAATTCCTTTCATCGACTAATCTCACCAACTTAACAATAGGAACAAGTACTCAAATATCCTCCATATGGTGTATTTGTCCCTTCATCGTCTTTACCTAAGAAGATGAAAGAAACAGAGTGCAGAGTACTGATCAGTGTAACCCCAGCCCTAATTGAAACGCTTAGAGTAACAATTATTGCATTTCGTACATCTGTTTTGGGTGTGGGTTAGTGGTGTCTAGTCGAGTGTAGGTAAATACATGTGTATGTGTGTGCGGGTTGCTTCTTAGAAGAAAACTTGTGGGAGGTAGACAAACATTTACTTCATGGTTGTCTAAACGAACAAATGATATGAGACACTCCACACATATAATGGACAATAATCAATACAATATGCTACTGATACTTTTGAAACGTGAAGAAGAAATTACGAAGTAAAAATGCTTAACTATTGCAGAACGAAATGAGTGAACCGTTTCATTTACATAATATTTTAAAATGTTGTACAATTTTTTTTTTTCCAATTTTAATATTCATATGAAAATTATAATAAAAATTATATACAAAACATCCTGTTTTATTAGCAAACATCTCGGAATCTAAATCTAATTTTTTTCCAAGTATTTCTGTTGGGCAACAAATTTTCACATCGCAGGAAATTTGAGAAATTTTTCAATTTTACATGGAAAGGAAGATAAATTTACACCAATAAATGTTTGCGGAATTTCTATACAGATCTCCTAGCGTTTTTTTGTTCTTAAAAAACAGGAACATCTGCTCGATATTTATGGGCAGATACAATATTTACGTTCTCTCTGTCTCACACACGAACACACACGCGCGTCTTCTCACTCCACTCCTTGTCTAAGATCAGGGTTGAACAGAAGCAGCAGGCAAGGCAACACGCTCAACATAGGTAGAGTGTTTGTGACTATGAACCGCATATCGATCGAACGCTTCAAAAGAAGGATAAAAAATCATGAGAACATTTACGTGCTGGTCAATCAGTGCTAAACTGTCGGTGGGGTGACATACTCAAGCGGGTAGAAGAGGTTTTATTGAAAAAAAAAAAAATAAAATAAACATCGCTTTCATCTTTACAACCTCTCTGTGATATTTTCCTTTTTTGTTTTGTTTTTGCATCAACACATCAAAGATGTTTGAAAAATTCATGTTTGATTTGAAATTTAAATTATTGCCAAATTTAAATCGTCGTTTGCTGTACAAATACAAATCTTGCTCCCAAAATGAGGGCGATTGTGTCGATGGAATGTTTCCACGGGTGTACAGCCAAAGTAAATTCACGAACATTGAATTGACTCTATTCACAAAGGATGCATCCTTTTGTGAGGCTGAGTTCCTATACAATATTGTGGATAAATTCCTAAGAGTAACCGATCCAAATGTAGAGGAATCGAAGAGATACAGTGTAAGAGTTCGAGTGAAAGCAATCGACCATTCTGTGGCGTTCTCTTGTATCAAAAATAATTAGCACAACTAATCGAATTTGTTTATCTTCCTATAGAGACGCAATGATCGAGAGGAAATACGACGTCGCTTGGCCATGGGAGCTGAGGAAAATTGCAATGATCAGCAGGAGAGATTACCATGGAAATCGGGAACCGAATCGCGTTTGCAAAGCGGTATGTTTAATATTGGAAACATCTCTGTGGGAGGCCTTCAATTCATGGTTCTCTTATAGATTTTTCTCGCATTACAGGCATGTCATCGGACACAGAAAGTCATAGCTCGGATTCGGAGACTTGTCCCAAACTATCGAAATCTAAAACCCAGTATAGCATTCACAATTTTGGCGGTACACCGGTGGCGGTGACCAGCCAAGTGACAGATAATTCTCAATTACATCCATATCATGGCCGACCACTGTCGATTAGTTGTTCCAATAACACCATCAATAATAACGGTAGCACAGGCAAACAGACACAGAACACAAAAGAACCGGATATGCCAGTCATATACAGCAGCGAGGATCTGGAGTGTGATTTCTTTACCAAACAAGCCAAATTACAGATAGAAGCCAGAATGGCATTGGCACAGGCCAAAGAAATGGCCCATATGCAAATGGAGGTAAGTGGCAAATTGTATTGGTATTTTAAAACTTTACCACTCGGCTATCGAGTGTCTGGCTATTCGAATCAGGCTCATGAGTTCCACCTGTATATGTACTTGTAATTCCCCAGGTTTATGCCTAATGAGGGTATATACACTACGATACGATGGAAATGGGTATCCTCGAAATATTGTCAAAATCAAGTCGATTTACAAATGCCCGCCATTCGTCTATCTTGCGCACGATAACTCTGGACCTATTTGGTCCACATTAAATAAACTAATATTTCTTCCAAATTTAAATCAAGTTCGAACATAGCTAATATCGGACCACTCTTTCAGGAACCTTCCCATAATTTTTCTTCATAATTTTCTTAAAAAAAAATAAATAAATAAAAAAATTATGCGAATGTAATATCTACCAAGCCTACAGCTTCTAGTACTTCCCAACAAGAGTTAACATATAGAAAATTTGTAAATCTCATATGAAACCAACGTGTGTCGGATTCACACCAAAGATTTACTGGAGATCGAAATTAACCTAGACTGCATGTGTCTAGATTTTAGACATAGACACAGCGTCTTTTAGGGAACCATGGAATGGAAATAATGCACCTATCCGATCCACAGGATTGATCCATATAGGTAACCAAATTAATTCTAGAATGGCGGGTAACAACTTATGTGTAGATCGTTACAAATTCAGTTATAGAAGTGACTATCATGATACATCTACAGGAGACTGAATGATCTCGAGATTTACTCTATATTTAAATTTATAATTTTCGTTTGTTTTCAAAAAATTGAAATGATTGGCCACAAAAATATAATATTTTCATTAATATCGAATTATTTATCTAATCCAAATATACTATCTTGTTTTATTTAGATTGAACGACAAAATCAATCCGTGTCGCCAATAACGGCTATTATACGAGGTTCCTTGGAGAAAGTCGGTGTACGAATGACGGCGGATAAACGTCGTGTGTCACGGCAAATGTTAACCGAAATGAATATCGCCCAGCTGCAGATATTGGTCAACAGCCTACACACACACATTGAAGAACTTAACGAAACCCTTGTTAATTATCTCATGGAACGCGATGACTTACACGACAGTCAGGATGCAATGCTAGTCGACATTGAAGAACTCACACGTTACATGTAAGTCGGCTTAATCTAATCTCCTAAATCGGCGTATATATAGTTATTAATTTGTTTGTTTCTAATTTTAGCGGAGCAAAAGAACATATCGCCCAGCAAGAACGGATATCAGCACTGAATAAATTTACAAAATAAAGTTGTAGTTGTTTTAGTGTTTCATAGACAAAGAAACAAAAAAATGGGTCACAAGGACGATGATGGCGATAAAGTTACAATATACAAAGAAAAATACGAAAAATTTAATTATATTAAAAAAAAAGAAAGAAACTCTTAGATAAAGGCAATGTTTATTAAGTTTATTAATTTAATTATAATTATAATCCGATTATTCGAACATAACTCCTTGCATAAACAAAGTATAGACAAACCTACATATACACACTACATACTTACGTACATATATGCTATATATATATATAAATAGAGACATACATGAATACAAAAAATCTTACATATATGAACATATTTATGATAATTTAAAATTATAAAACAAAAACTCTCAACAAAACAACAACAACAACCATAAAGAATGAAAAAAGACGACATTATTATAATTATTATTATTAGAGTGTTCTGCAATGCATCTCTCTTTAAATAAAATTTAAATGAGTTACATTCAAAATTAAAGCAAATCTAAAATAAAAAAGAATGTGTTTTAATTAAAACTACAAGCGGCTTCATAAATATCATTGTGTTACCCTAGCTCAGAGCAGAAATGTTCTGACGTCGGGATTTGTGCAATTATCTGAAATTGAAAAACATGGAAAAAGTGTCAGTTTGTGTTGCCGACAGATTCATTCGCTCTATATAAAATTTCCAACCCACATAGGGTGGGGGAAGCAACAGATAGAGTCAACAGACGGATACCATTTTCGACCTTGAATTGGGTTTAATAAAAACTGATTTAACGGATCAAATCGAAACTTTCGGACAGATCTACAATTGTCAAAAATATTACGATGCACAAAGTTTAAATTAAATTGGACTTTCAAGTCGTTTAATATAGAAGGTTAGGTTAGGGATGTACGGTTGTAAATAACAACCGTTCACTCAAAGACAATTGTCCATTGTGATCCTCCTTGATACCTGAAAGCAAAGGGGAAAGTAAGAGAGAATGGAAGAGTGGAAGAAATAGTTGGAGTTGGAGAGCCTAGAAATGATTATTTTAGCCATGCCAGATTTTTGACAAAGCCTAGAATCTGATTGCGGTCTATTTTGGAGAAGAAAGCTAGATTATCAATTTCATACCTTCCAAACTGTTTATGTCTTCTGCCACTCTGCGATGGACATCTACAGAGGATATGATCAATTTTTCCAGCTCCTCTTCGTCCTCACATAGACGACTGTTGTTGTTGTTGTAGCAGCCCTATTGCTTTTACACAATGGGCTGAGGTGACAGACGTTGGCCGAGAAATAGTTCGTTTCGGAGAACCCCTCTGTCGTGGAAACGACATAGACGACTGTAATCCTCTCCGTTGGAGTCCCATTTCTATGTGAGGGATATAATCTTGCAGTGACCTGTTATGATCCCCACAATGATATTAATCTCTCTCCCTCTCTTGTTAGAGAGGGACATCTACAGAGGATATGATCAATTTTTCCAGCTCCTCTTCGTCCTCACATAGACGACTGTTGTTGTTGTTGTAGCAGCCCTATTGCTTTTACACAATGGGCTGAGGTGACAGACGTTGGCCGAGTAAGACTCGGGTCGTTTCGGATCGTAGACCCCTCTGTCGTGGAAACGACATAGACGGCTGTAATCCTCTCCGTTGGAGTCCCATTTCTATGTGAGGGATATAATCTTGCAGTGACCTGTTATGATCCCCACAATGATATTAATCTCTCTCCCTCTCTTGTTATTTGACAGCAGCGAAGAAGTTCTTCGGCGAAAGAATTCAGGTCAGATAGCTTTTGAGATTCTGCAACCAGGTTCTCTTGACCATCTGTTGCCGACTACCTCGCCGAAGAACAAGCGGATTTTGCCAATGAAATAGCCAATGGTTGGTTGCACAGATCTCTCAATCGGAAGGTTGAACGACTGTGAACCCCCTCGAGCAAGCTCGTCGGCTATCTCGTTACCTTCTATAGTGCACTACTTTAAAGCCTTGAGGGCCGCCTTACTATCAACATATATTATCGGCAGTAAGTGTTTTGACTATATCAGCCGCTTTCGTGATAGCGAGGATTGCTTCTTGAAAAACGCTACAAAGATTGTTAAGATTATATGAGTTGTAGATTTCTATTTCCCTACATTAAACGCCTGCACCAGTGCATTCCTCCATCTTTGACCCGTCTGTGAAAAATTACAGACCTGACAGGGGTAAGGAGCAACTAGTCCAGGATTCCTTTTTACGTCTTGTGAGGAATATACCAGAAGAAATTGACCGGTGAGTCCCTTCTTTGGACTTTAATTAAATTTGATTAACCCTGTAGCCGATAAGCCCGCCTTTAGACGACGTGCAGTAAATACGTTGATGTGCTATATTACACTGTGCGGCACGAAAATTATTCAGGGGTTCTAATGTACCAATTCTATTTAGTTGGAGTCCCTGGACCACGAAAATACCTTTGGTTTTTCTGGGTCACTTCGAAAATTAGTTTTATAACGGTAAATGTAGAGAAAAACGTGGTTAATAGATTTTTAATTTGAAACGCGAATAACTTCTTTTATTTCTAACGGATTTATATTATTCTGTTTTTTTTTTCAATATGATGATATCAGACCGTATAAGTTTTTCAGCCTGAAAAAATTTTTTTGTTATTTTGTATCACAGTGTTATAAAGTATGTAACTATCAATTAAGAGTTAATGTACACTCCTGCTAGAAAAAACAGGCTGTGAAAATTGGTCAATTAAATAGAAATTATTAGCGTCAGAATCAATTTGTAGAAGAAGTAAGTAAAAAAGTGGCCGGCTATAGGTTAAAACTATTACGACGTGCAAAGTTGGGATTATATCGTACATGTGCCAAATTTAGATGAAATAGAATATTCCATTTGCTCCATTCGATGTTTAACCAATGTTCCAAATGTTTAACCCTTGGGGGAGGAGGTAATGCAAAGAAGTGGACCGATAAGTCCCATCTTCAAAGATTATAAAAAACTTAGTTAAAATATTACGTTGTACAAACGTTGGTTCAAATGAGATATTCTGTTTGCATTACAATAAAGTTAATATTCAGCAAATTTTTGACCATTTTGTGGGTGATGGTACTAGAAGGAGTAGACCGATATTTGCCATCTTCGAACTTATCCTAAGTTTGAAAGAAATATTACGAAAGTTCGAAAGCCAGAGAAACAAATGTATGTAAATCGACTCCAAATTGTTTGGAAAATGTTTGGTCCAAAGGATCTTGGAGTCTAAAGACGATATTTAAGACAACTATAATTTTCCAAAAAGAAAAAAAGGTGATTATTTTTGTAACCATAGATAGCTTACTGTGCACAAAGTCTATCCAATGGTGAAAACTGTGCAATTTTAGTTGGTACATCAATTATTTATTATATTTATAAGCTCGGCTATTATAAGTTTGTTTTGATCCCAATATTTTTGAACGATGATCCTTTCTGTATTTTGGATGAGTATAGTTATTGGTGGCAATAAGGCGATCACATTTAAAAAATTAAAAAACTTGAATTAAACACTTTTTACGTATTTTATATATGCATATATATATATATATATATATATATATAGGGTTTTAAAAAAACAATGTAGATGGCTGACGATGACAGCCAGTTAAAATAGATTGTCCTATAACAAAATTCTACAACTATGGAAAATGTCATTTCAATCGAAGAGACTTAGAGTCGATTGTGTATCATTTATATGAATCGGACAACCTTATGACAATATCGACCGATTTAAAGCAAGCTTAAAACCCGCGATGCGCTATGCTGCAGCACATCGCATTGTGCAAAATTTTATCTCAATCGAACACACGTTGATTATTTGGTGCAGAATTTGGGTGAAATCGGTCGTTTTCGACCGAATTTAATGCGTGGTACAAAATTATGTCTGTTTGTTTCTTTGGGCCAAATCAGTTTTAGGCAATTTGGCGTCGATTTACAAATGTCCGTCCGTCTGTCTGGCTGATGCACACCATAACTCTCGAAGGGAATAACTATTTACATTTAGGCAACTCGTAATATTTCGTTCACATCGTAATATTTCGTTCATACTTAAATCAAGTTTGATGATGCGGAATATCGGGCCACTTCTTCTGGATAACTCTTCCACAAAATAGTCAATATTTAGCTCAAAATAAGTTTTGTAATATCATGCGATCGAACTATCCGATTATAATCTAACTTTGCCTAATGGTAAATATTTTAGAAACGTATAAATGGTTCATATTTCATCCAAACTCGTAATATGCCATCGGTCCATTCCTTCTGCAACCTCCCCACAAAGTGTCAAAATGTCTAAATCCAATATCAAGTGATTTTATCCAATCTTTGCACATCGTAATATTTCTTTCATACCTCAATCAATTTCGAAGATGGGTAATATCAGGCCACTTCTTCTGGATAACTACCCTACAAAATGGTTAAAAATGTTGCCGTAAATAAATCTTTATAATACGTTCAGAACGGACAATCCGATTTCAACCAAACCTTGCACAACATAATATTTTAACCCTCACTGCTATTTCTACACCTTTTTCACATGTTATTGAATTCCATTTGCAATTCATAACATGTCAGTTGTAATTCGAGAATTTCATTTGTAATTAATAGAATACCTTTCGAAATTCATAGAATTCATTTGAAATTCCAAGGATTGCATTTGAAATTCATAAAATTCCATTTGAAATTTAAATAATTTCATTTGAAATTTTTAACATTTAATTTGAAATACATAACATTTCATTGGTTATTCATAACATTTAATTTTAGATTCGAAAAATATTATTAATAACATACAAGGAATATGTATGAATTTGAAATGAGTTGTTACGAATTACAACTGAAATATTTTGAATTGCAAGTGAAATGTTATAAATTTCAAGTTGAATTATTTGAATTTTAAACGGATTTCTTTGAATTTTAAATGAAAATCTACAAATTTCAATGAGAAATCTACTAATTAAAAATTAAATTTTTTAATTCCAAATGACATTTTTTGAATCTCATA